AATGGGCCTTCAAGCCTCTCCCATTGTTTCCAGTGGGCAATCCTGCTATTCCTCTTAGTATATATCCCAATTTTGATACAAATATATAAAATATAGTATATTATATTATTTTCTCCTCCCTGCACCCCCCTGTGAGCCACAAAGTGGCTTGTTAACAGCAGCTAGTAATAAACGGCTCAAAAAAGGAGTTGGAGGAGGGGGCTTTCATTGTAATGGGACAGCTGGCTACCACCTCTTCTATTCCTTATCCCACCCTTTAAGAACATAAGAGAAGCCATGTTGGAGCTGGCCAATGGAGTATCTAGTCCAACACTCTGTGTCACACAGTGACCAAAAACCAGGTGCCATCAGGAGGTCCACCAGTGGTGCCAGAACTCCAGAAGCCATCCCACTGTTGCCCCCCAAGCACCAAGAATACAGAGCCTCAATGCCCCAGACATAGTGTTCCATACACCTTGTGACTAATAGGCACTGATGGACCTCTGCTTCATATGTTTATCCAGTTTCCTCTTGAAGCTGTTTGTGCTTGTAGCCACCACCACCACTTCCTGCAACAGTGGATTCACGTGTTAATTACTCTTTGGGTGAAGAAGTACTTTCTTTTATCTGTTCTTTATCCCTGCCTCCACCTCCCTCATGGCAAAGGTTATAGACGTCTGCTCCATATATTTATCCAACCACTTCTTGAAGCTGTCTGTGCTTATAGCCACCATCACTTCGTGTAGCAATGAATTTCACATGTTGATTACTCTTTGGGTGAAAAAGTATTTCCTTTTATCCACCATTAGCTGAGGAACTTGTGCCATAGAATCCTATTTCCCCCCCACGCAGGGTGTGACGCTTCCATTAGTTTCAATGGCCATCTCCCCTTGCCCCTCCCATACTGAAATCGAGCTGCCTGGCCAGTCTAAGAGGTTCTGCTGCTGAAGGAGGCCTCTGTCCAGCCCCCCAAATGTGGGCCTCTGATAAAGTGGGGCTTCCAGCATTGTGGATCTGTCATCGTGAATATGAAAGGAGGAGCAGAAGGCAAGAAGAGTGCCCATCTTGTTCCCAGAAACCAAGCAGTGCACAACTGGCAAAGCTGGCTGGTCAGGGCTAACTTTGTGCCAGGCCTCGGAGCCCAAAGCCTGTTCTCAGCACCAGACTGAAGGCCTTAAAGAGAGCCTCTGGGCATTCCCCTGTGATCAAGAGGGCCAAAACCAAGAGCATGATGGTGACTGTGTAGATCTGTTGACTGAAAGATTTCCCTGAGGGCAGGGCAGCGGGGGGGGGGGCGTGACACTGTGAGGTTCATCCTGAGATTTTAGAAAGGGGAGTTAAGGGGTTTCCAGGTGAAACCACAAGGAACCCACAGGTGCACTGCATGCTGAATCCTTATGGATCCAGGATGTGAAGGAATGTCTCATTATTTAGTAGTGGTAGTAGTATTTTAAAATATAGAAGAATCAAGATCCAGGGAGGGCAAAACTCCAAATCAAACTCAAGTTAAATCACATCAGTATGAATATCAGCTTGTTGTGCCAGTATCAGAATTGTCCTTCATCTGTAACGTGAAGGGTGGAGAACTACCTAGAAGGAGAGGCTGTCGGTGAGAGAATGTATGTCACTCCAACTCAAGTTTGTGCTACCAGAATTATTGGTGGACTTTAATTGGCTAGACCAAAGGCCTATCTTATATAATAATAATAAACAAATACATAAGTATTTAGGAAACAACATCTGGCCTTATGCTGCATATGTATTTAAGATGTATTTAACATCTTAAGCAATTAATAAAATCTGTTGCAGCTAAAGGAAAGGGATACCGAAGGCAGGTTCAAGAACGGAGATAGCTCAGTGACAGAGCATGTGCTTTGCATGCTAAAGGGCCCTGCTTCAGTCCTTGGCATTTCCTCTCAAAGCATTTCAGGTAGCAGGGGTTAGTAAGCTGAGATCCTGGAGAACTACTGCACAGCAGAGCACACTGTGCTGAGTGAATCTGGCTGAGCAGAAGGCAGCTTCTTTACACCGGTTGAGGCTGAAGAAGTTACATGGTATTTGAAGGCTGTTCACATAACTTCAAAGGGAATAGAGAAGCCTTTTGTACCAAAGGGTAGTCTTCTGGCAGGCACTATTCCCACACCCGGAGGGCCAGAAACTTGGTTATGGTGTAAGGCTTTGCTTTTAAAAAAGGGGGGGAGGGTATAAGAATGCTCAAAATCCCAAGATTTTTTTGAATGTATGTCAAATTTGTAATTGGAATTGTGACCACTAAGGAAGGCCCTTTGGGGGGCCGAAACGCGTTTGGTTCAGTTGCACAGCACTAACCCATCTATGTATGAATGTTGAGATGTTTTTTATGTCTGAATGGTATATTTTTAAGGAGTCTAAGTTTTAAAATGTGTACACCTGAATAAATTTTGTATTTTCATAATATTTAGTGTCAGCTTAACCCTTGTGGATCCATACTAATTTTTTTTGCACATCATTAAAAAAGAGAAATGTTTAGGACCCATGAAAATCTATTACATTTTGCCTAAAACCGAAAAAAATGTTGAGGTATTTAAAGTTACATAATATATAATCAAAACAGAGAACATTTTGATATATACACAATTATTTACTACAATAGTGAGAAGCTTAGTGACTGTAAACTGTATGGCCTCAGCCAAAGGCGCCAACTGAATAACTACAAGGCAAGGACCCCAGTGGAAAATATGTAAAATTATTCTGCAATTATACTGCATTTCATATACAATATACTTTTATTATCTATTACTGTTATTCTGTGATTCTATAGTCCTTGTTACAGTGCATCCTTTCTTTTTGTGCCAACTGAATGATGGCAGATAGGAGGCCCACTTAGTCTTGGTGCAGTTGCTCTTCTCGCTCTGGTATTTGGGCAAAAACTCTATGGTAATTACAGCAACCCCAGCCGGGCCTGGCTTGTTTGGGGGGTAAGTCCCCCCCCCCCCACTGGCT